CTAAAGCAATGCTGTGTATGTTGGCATTTCTTCACATATATCTCTTTGGGAAAATATACAGGCAAGACGGGACAGTCAAGTGTCTACTAGCCATTGGTTGCTCAACACCACTTAGCTAGACTTTATATGAGTTAGCAACTCAATGAAAAAAAGGGTGGTGAAAAAAACTCCGGAGACCAAGGCACGAAGGACATGGTCTTACCATCAATTCAATGGGTACCTTATTTTTTACTCACTTGAAAAGCTCCTAAAATTCTAAAAGGTTCTTTAAATCCAATTTTGTAATCTAGAATAATTTAAATATCTTCCTATTTCTTTTAGTAACTCAGAATGTAAGCATTTAAGGAAATGAAATGGCACACATCTGGGCCACATAACAGGGAGGGAGTGGAAGGGGAAAAAAGACCTGAGAGAATATATACACATAATTCCAGACTGCTATTTTAAAATAAAGCAACGGACCTGCAACTTTATTGCCTCTATTAGTCTGTATTACTTTTAAATAACCTTACAATTATTTTAACTGTTAAAATCTACATATCTTCCCTGTATATGTAATGAAAAACTCAGTGACGCAAACTATATTCATTCCCTCTTGGAAATTCACAGAGACACTATTTTTACCTCCAATAAAATGAAGTTTGGTATTGGATTCTCCAGATATTGTATACAACTAATTAGCTCTGGGTATATTCCAATAATAGGAAAAGCAACAACGCACAATATGAAGGTCAAGTTTCGGGAAGAAACATTAGCTCAAATACTTTTATCACTGAGAGCTTCAGTCAGCTTGAAAAATTAAATATTTATGCCAGGCAATTCTATCTTGTGACCCAGCTAAAAGCAAAGTTTAAATTTATCCATGCAAATTAATAGCAACCGATGATGAAACTGAAGAAACTCTTAATTGCAATTGCTCATCAGCTGACAAACTGAGAAGAAAAAAAGAGGGAAGGTTGCTTCGTCAATTGAGCACTATATAAACAACCCGAAGAGAAGGCCAATTGGATCCCAACTGAAATGGAAAATATTTTATATATGTAATGTCTAGCATCATAACACCCAAATTTGCAAATATTTAAGACCTGGGTTACAGAGAGAAACTCAACTTAGGTCTTAGGCTAAGTCTGTCTGCTCGTTTGCCCAGGCAGCCAGCCTTTGGGTTCAGTCCTCACCTACGACTCAAGCATTAAGTGAGCCTCTAGGCTCTTCACTGATAGTCAAGTGTCAGCAGCAGTCTTGGCTCTGTTCCTTGGATGTGCCTTCTGCAAGATGACATTGGCACTGGATCCTTCCTCCACAACACCTCTCCCACAGCCACCAAGGATGTAAAAATTCACCCTTCCTATGTTCAAGGGCCTCGGGGGTCAACGGTCTTTCCCATCTTGTGCTACTCAGTCCCCTCCCTCTCCACAAGATGTGTACCATCTATGAGTTTAGCATTGCATGAGAGGTTCTTGTATCTGAATACCATTGACTATGCCCAAAACAGTCACACTAAGACCTCACAAGACAGTCTTCCTGGGACCACTCTGAACAAGAAGTTTGAAAAAAGCCTGCTGCCCCCACACCTTTTGCTGAGTTCACAGTTGGTTATGTCACTGTTCCTCAGCAATCAGAGACCAGCCCAGGGGAAACACAACGGCGGAATGAGGAGAGGATACACACCCAGAAATGAAGGAACTATGGAGCAGGAAAGAGGTATGTGTTTGTGCGTGAACTGAACCACACTCTGCGCACCTTGGTGCAACCAGTGGTAGTCAAGAAAGTCAAGAAAAGCTATGAGGTAAAAGATAAACAGAAAGATATTCTTTTCCTATTCTTTCTGTCTAGTAGCTGAATATTTTCAGAGTTCAGAGGCAGTTTGAGCCCTCTTGCTAGAGGCATTTAACCAAAGGTTGGACATCAGCTAGATGGGAATGTGGAAGGACAACTGAAGCAACGGCTGGAAGCTTGGACTGGATCATAGTTTTCACATTGTATTCATTCAAGGTACATGAAGGGACCTGAAGACTGTCCAGCTGGTAAGTGGGCAGGGATGCTTTAAGGGAATCGATTTCCAGATGCTCAACCTCCATATGCATTCTTACCTAAAAACTGAGAGGCCAAAGAATGTATTTGCATTGGATGTACTACTGTTCCTCTTTTCCCACTTTTCCTTTTACAACTGCACTTCTGCTACTTTTAAAAAAAAAAAAAAAGGACATATCTCACATCATCCTGAAACACAGGACAGTATTCCTGCCCTGAAGTATAAAAATCTTCAGGCCATCAAATGAAGCTGGCTTAGAAATACAGTATTGGTATCAATGAAGCCTCTTTTAATCAAGCACTACTAATCTACATGAGAGTTCCAGGACTTTCCATTCTTCAGATAAGGGAAAGACTTGACATTAAAAATGAGGTCTTCCAGCCGTTTCTCTCCATGTTAGAATGTTCTAATTTCAGATGATGGTAGAGATGCTAAATTTTGTTTAATTACTTTGCTTCTTCTGTCCCCTGTCTCTCAAGTCAGAATTTCAGAGATTTGACAAAGCTCCAAATCTTATCTAGATCTATATCTATCTTACATTTAGAGTTCAAGAATGGGACAGTCGTCACAGTGACATATACTAATATGCTCATCTAAATCCAAAAACAGCACCACACTCCTGTCAGTTGACCTGGGAGGCACCTGGCTGTGGTTGGGCCCTATGGCTATGTGGCAGGCATTCTGCATCAAATGAAGGAGTTAAATCTCTGGTTGTGAGGGAAAAATTTTAAGGCTCATGGTAAAATAAAAGCACTTCATCAAAAAAATTATATTGGCAAAAGTTTGTTTCAGTGAAAAATAGTTCAAACCCCTTCCCAATATTACAAGGCATATGTGTGTGTGAGAGGAAACAGTTACATGAATCAAGAGTTGAGAGCCCTGATAAAGCTTCTCCAGTACATTTCCCAGAGACTGAGACATCTGTGATTCCAATGGAAGGTAACAAGATATTCTGCAAGTTAAGTTTTGCAAATTTTTGTTTTCAATAACCTTGAAGGAGGTCCTAATCGAATTGTCAGCTTATGGACCATAAAAAATTACTTTTGATAATACAGTTATATGTCACTTAACAATGGAGATAAGTTTGGAGAAATGTGTCAATAGATGATTTCGTTGCTGTGTGAACATCAGAGTGTACTTACACAAACCTTGATGGTGTAGCCTAGTGTGTCTAGGCTATATGGTACTAATCCTATGAGACCACCGTTGAATATGCAGTCCACTGCTAACCAAAATGTTGTCATATGGCACGTGACTGTGTATTATTATCTGATTTTTGGCATATAGTTGGGAAGGGCTCACGGAACTGAATGATATTGCTAGATATTAAAAAACACAAAACTCCTACTCCCATCTGTCTATTAATGTGAGCAAGGTTTCTTAATCTTCAAATCTATTAAAAAATAAGCATATAATTGTTACTGAAAATCCTGCCTCATTCTAGCAAGAGGGTGACATTCATTCTCAGATATCTATACTCAATTGAAAAAAATCCATTTCACTAATAAGATTTTACCTTTTATGTTAATATTTTCACAAATTTTGTAATGTCTGTTATTTTTATCACTCATATACTAATATTTGTAAGAATAACTTGATGGAAAGAAACTTTTGGAACTAAAGTCTTATGGTCATAGGATATAAAGTTTAATTTTTATAGGTATATTTTGTGATAGTAAAGTATGGTAGAGGAACCAATAAGAGACCTTAAAGATTAAAAAAAATAAGTTAGGATAACATTCTATAGAAAATATGAAATAAAAATGTGAGTTAAAGGAGCATATGGAACTATAAACTTTTTGACTCTTAACAGCTTGCTCTCATATTTAACAGAACAATGGTGGCATTCAAATCTCTACGGTATTTGGTTCTACTGCATATCTTTAAAAGAATGACATGACATTTTCACTTTAAAAAGTCAGTATTTATAACATATAAGACCTTTTTCATCTCTTATAATAACCCAACACTAATATTCTATGACCCCAAGATACTGAGCAAACAGAGGGCCCGCATTTGATGGCCCCAGCTGCAAATGCCTACTCAAATTTTGTGCCTACGTGTCTTGCTTTTCTCACCCTGGTGCTGGCCCTGGTTTCCAAAGTCATTAAGTAGGAATACCCATGACCTAACCTCTGGGTGAGTCCTGCTGAGAAACCTTAAAGGCATGGGAGAGAAGAGGGGGAAGAAAACAGGGGACAATGGGATTACGGGATTAGATTCCTTCAACAAAAGCTCAATGGGGGTAAGGAAATAAGGAGCAAAGGAACCAATATCACTATTAATTCTGAACTGGGAATTTGTTTGGTAAAAGCTTCAATCACAAAGAGACTTAGGATTGAATTCCAGTCATGTAAAGTATTCATTTCATGTAGTACAATCCAACATTTTGGTAACATAATCCTGTCCAAAACAGATGAGGAGAAAAAAAGGAAGGGTGTCATTAGTTTTGGAAATCTAAGTCTCTATATTCTTTTCAGAAAAAAGCAAAGCAAAATGTGTATTTATGTGGAAGTGGAGGATGGGGGCAAAGTGAGCCTGGCTGGAGAAGGTGCTCCAGGGAGCCATGGTCCAGACTGACAAATGCCTAAAGAATATACTTTGACTTTCCTTCCTGATTAAGGCAAAATTACACCTAGACCATACATGGCAGATAAGCAACTATCATGAGTTCTTAAAAGCCACATATTTTGAATAATGATATTGCGCCATAAAGCTATATCATCATATCATAAATGAAGGGCATAATAACAGAAGTCACATTAAAGCCATATCAAATGGTATAAAGAGTGGTTCAAAAACTGTCAGGAAAACCTAATAGAAAACTTTTCCTGATTTCTGATTCTCAAGTTTCCATAAACATTGTTGTGTATCACTTTTATGCCAACATTATGATTCCATTCTAAAGGATATGCAGTGAAACACCTATCAGCTTAATGTTATATTATAAATTTGACAGTTAATTTACCATTCCAATACATTTTCTGAGGATGCTCCAGATACTGAAGTCATTTCTGGAAAACATGGGGGAGGGCAAGCTTGTTCTGGAAAAAGAAAAGAAAAATAAAGATTTAATTTTAATGCCCTTGATGCTGGGAAGGAAAAGTTATTGTCATTAATTAAGAGCAACAGGTACATGAAAAGATGCTCAACATCACTAGTCATCAGGGAAATGCAAATTAAAACCACAGTGAGATATCACCTCATGCTTATCAGAATGGTCATCATAAAAAGACAACAGAAAACAAGCGTTGGCATGGATGTGGAGAAAAGGGAATCCTTGTGCACTGCTGGTGGGATTATAAATTGACATAGCCACTATGGAAAATCGTATGGAGGTTCCTCAAAAAATTAAAAATAGAACTACCATATGATCCAGTAATTCCACTTATGGGAATATATCTACAGGAAACAAAAACACTAACTTGAAAAGATATCTGCACCCCCACGTTCACAGCAGCATTATTTATAATAGCCAAGACATGAAAACAATGTAAGTGTCCACTGATGGGTAAATGGATAAAGAAGTTGTGGTGTAACAGCCAACACCACAGAAATACAAAGGATCATAAAAGATTACTACAAACAATTATATGTCAACAAACTGGACCTAGAAGAAATAGATAAATTCCTAGAAACATACAATCTTCCAAGACTGAATCAAGAAGAAATAGAAAATCTGAAAAGACTGATTACTAGTAATGAAATTGAATCAATAATCAAAAACACTTCCAACAAACAAAAGTCCAGGACATCTTCACAGATGAATTTTACCAAACATTTAAAGAAGAGTTAATACTTATCTTTCTCAAACTATTCTAAAAAATCGAACAGGAAGAAATGCTTCCAAACTCACTCTATAAGGCCAGCACTACCCTGATACCAAAATCAGACAAAGAGATTAAAAAAAGAAAATTACAGGCCAATATCCCAGATGAACACAGATGTAAATGTCCTCAACAAAAATAATTACAAAATCAAATTCAACAATATGTGAAAAGGATCACACACCATGATCAACTGGGATTTATCCCAGGGATGCAAGGATGGTTCAATACCTGCAAATCAATCAACATGATACACCACATTAACAAAACGAAAAATAAAAATCATATGATCACCTCAATAGATGCAGAAAAAGCATCTAACAAAATTCAACACCTATTTATGATAAAAACTCTAAACAAAGTAGGCTAGAAGGAAGATACCTCAACAGAACAAAGGCTATACATGACAAATCCACAACTAACATCATACTCAATGGTGAAAAGCTGAAAGCATTTCCTCTAAGATCAGAAACAATACAAAGATGCCAACTCTTGCCACATTTATTGAATATAGTATTGGAACTCCTAGCCACAACAATCAGATAAGATTGTTATCTTGGGATGAAAATACATCCCAATTGGAATGAAAGAAGTAAAACTGTGATTATTTGCAGATGACATGATACCATATAAAGAAAATCCTAAAGACTCCACCAAAAAAATATTAGAATAAATGAATTCAGTAAAGTTGCAGAATACAAAATCAATATACAGAAATCTACCGTGTTTCTATACATCTGAATAACAAACGATCTGAAAGAGAAATTTAAAAAAACAATCCCATTTACAATTGCACCAAAAAGAATAAAATACCTAGAAATAAATTTAACCAAGGAAGTGAAAGACCTGTACTCTGAAAACTATAAGACATTGATGAAAGAAACTGAAGATGACACAAATAAACGGAAAGACATACTGTGCTAAAACATTAGAAGAATTAATTTTGTTAAAATGTCCATACTGGACCTTGAGGGTATTATGTTAAATGAAATAAGCAGACAGAGAAAGACAAACACCATATGATTTCACTCACATGTGGAAGATAAACAAATATATGGACAAAGAGAACAGATTAGTGGTTACCAAAGGGGAAGGGGGTTGGGAGGTGGGCATAAAGAGTAAAGGGGCACACATATATAGTGACCGACAAATAATAATGTACAACTGAAATTTCACAATATTATAAACTATTATGACCTCAATAAAATAAATTTTTTTAAATGTCCATACTAACAGATTCAAAGCAATCCCTATCAAAATACATTGGCATTTTGCATCAATGGCATTTTTCACAGAACTAGAGCAAATAATCCTAAAATTTGCAAGGAAGACCCCCAATAGTCAAAGCAATCTTGAGAAAGAACAAAGCTGGAGGTATCATGCTCCCTGATTTCAGACTATACCACAAAGCATTAGTAATCAAAACTGTATGGTACTGGTGCAAAAACAGACACATAGATGAATGGAACGGAATAGAGCCCAGAAATAAACCCACATTTATGTGGTCGATTAATCTACAACAAAGGAGGCAAGAATATACAAGGGGGAAAAGATAGTTTCTTTAACAAATGGTGTTGGGAAAACTGGACAGCTACATGAAAAAGAATGAAAATGGGCCACTTTCTTACATCTTATACAAAAACAAACTCAAAATGTATTAAAGACTTAAGACCTGAAGCCATAAAACTCCTAGAAGAAAACATAGGCAGTAAGTTCTTTGACATTGGTCTTAGCAATATTTTTTTGGATCTGTCTCCTCAGGCAGAGGCAACAAAAGCAAAAATTAACAAATGGGACTACATCAAACTAAAAAGCTTTTGCACAGTGAAGAAAATCATCAACAAACCGAAAAGGGAACCTAATGAATGGAAGGAGATATTTGCAAATGATATATCCAATAAGAGATTAACATCCAAAATATATAAAGAACTTGTACACCTCAATATCAAAGAAACAATAGAATTAAAAGATGGGCAGAGGACCTGAACAGACATTTTCCCAAAGAAGACGTATGGATGGCCACCAGACAAATGAAAAGATGCTCAACATCACTAATCATCAGGGAAATGCAAATCAAAACCACAATGAGATATCACCTCACACCTGTCAGAAAGGCTATTATGAAAAAAAAAACAAATAACAAGTGTCGGCGAGGATATGGAGAAAAGGGAACCCTTGTACACTATTGGTGGGAGTGTAAATTGGTGCAGCCACTATGCAAAACAATAAAATTTTTAATCAAAAATTAAAAATAGAACTACCATACAATCCGGCAATTCCATTTCTGGGTATTTATCCAAGGAAAACAAAAACTCTAATTCGAAAAGATATATGCAACCCTATGTTCATTGAGGCATTATTCACAACAGCCAAGATATGGAAGCAATCTAAGTGTCCACTGATAGAAGAATGGATAAAGACGATGTGATACACACACACACACACACACACACACACACAGACACACACACTGGAATATTTTTTGTTAGTGCTGTGGAGTTAATTCTCACTCCTAGTGACCCTGTGTAGGCAGAGCAAAACCCAGCCCAGTCTTTTTGCACCATCCTCTCACCTTCTGGCACTGTATCAGACAATGCTCCACTGCTATCCATAGGATTTTCATGGCCAATTTTTTTGGAAGTGGGTGGCCAGGTCCTTCTTCCTAGTCTGTCTTAGTCTCGAAGCTCCACTGAAACCTGTCCACTATGGGTGACTCTGCTGGTATTTGAAATACTGGTGGCATAGCTTTTGATATCACAATAACACACAGCTGCCACAGTACAACAGGTGACAGATGAGTGGTGTATTTCCTTGAGCGGGAAACAAACCCAAGCCATGGCAGTGAGAGCACCGAACCTTAATCACTAGACAATCAGGGCTGGCTAAAATGGACAATTACTTAGCCATAACAAAAACATCTTGCCATTGGTGACAACATGGATTGACCTAGAGGGTATTATATGCTAAGTGAAATAAGTCAGACAGAGAAAGACAAATACCATATGATTTCACTTATATGTGAAATCTAAAAAACAAAAAAAATGAACAAACAAAACAAAACAGAAACAAACTCATAGATACAAAGAACAAACTGATGGTCACCAGAAGGTAGGCAGGTGGAGGGATGGGTGAAATATGCGAAGGGGATTAAGAGGTGCAAACTTCCAGTTACAAAATAAGTCACAGGGATATAATGTACAGCATAGGAAATATAGTCAATAATATTGTAATAACTTTGTATGGTGACAGATGGTTACTAGACTTCTGGGATCATTCACCACAGTCACTACGTTGTACACTTGAGACTAATATAATATTGCATGTCAATTATACAAAGTGGTATATATATATACATATATACACATATATATATACACACACACACACAATGGAAAATTATTCAGCCATAAAAAACGAGGAAATTCTACCATTTGCAACAACGTGGATGGACCTTGAAGGCCTTCCACTAAGTAAAATACGTCAGGCAGAGAAAGACAAATACTGTATGATCTCACTTACATGAGGAATCAATTTTTAAAAATCCCAAACACCAAACCACAGAAAAAGAGACTTGTGGGTTACCAGAGTCAAGGGATGGGGGGAGGAGGAATTGGAGGAAGGTGGACAAAAGGTGCAAACTTCCAGTTATAAGTTGAATAAGTACTAGGAATGTAACGTAGCACATGACGACAACAGTTAACACTGCTATATGATATATAGGAAAACTGATGAGAGTAGATCCTAAGAGTTCTCATGACAAGGAGAAAATTTTTTCTTTTGTTTTTATTGTGACTGTATGAGATGATGGATGTTAACTAAACCTGTTGTGGTAATCATTTCACAATACAATCAAACCATCATGCTGTACATCTTAAATTTATATAGTGATGTATGTCAACTACTTCTCAAAAAACTGAAAAAAATATGCACGATCATAAATAGGGTAAAATAGGGCCAACCTGGGGTCATATCCTTGTTCATTGCTATTTTTGCCACTGAAAAGTTTCATAGCAGATCGACTGGCCCTATCTATGTCTTCGGTATTATTCTGATCCAAATTTTCCTAGTCCTCCTCTGTCGGTGTCCAGCTGTTTCAGGATCACCTCAGAAGCACATTGTCCTTTCATGTGCCGGCACATCTGACCCTGTTGTTTGGTTCATGACACTCCTACCATATTCTGATATTTAATAACCTATTTTACTCTAGCTGCTAAATA